GGAGTTCCAGCCACTGCCCCCACCCCACCCAGCTTTTGCATGGACCACAGCGCCAATCGTAGTCCCGCCTCCCAGTCGCTCCCCTGCCTCCGCCAGGCTTCCATCCGGAAATTCAGAAAATTGCACATGTCTGGTATTTTCTGAATTTTTCTACCAGACAGAGGGCACAAATACCGGACTCTCCAGTAGAAAACCGGACACCTGGTCCAGCCACTGCCCCCACCCCACCCAGCTTTTGCATGGACCACAGCGCCAATCGTAGTCCCGCCTCCCAGTCGCTCCCCTGCCTCCGCCAGGCTTCCATCCGGAAATTCAGAAAATTGCACATGTCTGGTATTTTCTGAATTTTTCTACCAGACAGAGGGCACAAATACCGGACTCTCCAGTAGAAAACCGGACACCTGGCAACCTTAAGAAGGAACTCTGATTGCCCACTTTTGGCACTACCATGTGGAGTGATCAAAGAGGGTATACAGGGAAAGGCTAGCCCTTGCACCCTTTCCCAAGTAGAAAAGTTGTCAGGAGGCTAGAAGAGACAAAGAGAACCAGTTGGGGTAGAGCAAACTCTAATTACGAACCTTGATAAAAGAGCAGGTTGGGACTTTTAGAGACAGAGCCCAGGAGATGTAAAGGGGAGAGTGGAGCAGGAGAACATCAGAGGCATGAAAGTTAAGCCTAAGGAGGGCAGAAAGTGGCTTTTTTCTACTTTTGGTTTGGAATTTTGTTGGGGATTTCAAGATGTCATGCTGGCAGACTACATGTAAGAGAACTCCAGGATGACAGCAGAAAGGTGTTCAACAGAACCGACTCTAGTTGCTAGTGACAGGGGTCCTGAGCTATAATCCAGTTTAATTTCTATTGAAATCAACAACATAAAACCATTTCAACAGTGGAGCTTTTAATTAGAACACAAAGACAACAGGCTCAATAAAAGAGATCTATATCAAAGAGAAAAGAATGCAGACACATGAAGAACAGAACAAAGTACAATTTAAACATCTATCATTTCAGCCCAACGGGAAAAGTTAAAAGCAATGACAGCTGTAATCTCTAAAGATTAGGAAAGATTGGTCATGTTTAGATACCATTTGAACTGTGGAGAGTTCAAT